AGAACCTTGAGCACCTCGGCGTTGGTGGGGTTCTGGCCCAGGGCCCTCATCACGTCCCCACACTGACTGTACAGGATCTTGCCATCACCTGTTCTGTCAAACAGCTGGAAGGCCTCCTTGAATTCTGCCGTCTGGTCCTCGGTGAAGTCACACATCTTGACTGCCGAGCTCTACCGGACCTGCAGTAATGGCCAGGTTTTTTCTTTCAAGATAAGGTCTCACTAAGTTCACTAGACTGGCTTCAAACTTGCAGCCTTCCTGCCTCAGGTTTCTGTGTCCCTGGGACAGCAATCATGTGCTGCCTGCCATGCCCAGCTGTACTGGATATATTTCAAATAATCCATAACCCTTTGGTCACTGGCTACCACACTGGACGGGGCTGATAGGGAACATTTGTTATCACAGAAAATTCTTTTGGACAGTGCTTGTCTTATGTGCATAGCTGCTCTCCTAAGTTAGTTCACTTTTAAAAATAAAAGTTTAGGGGGCCTGAGAGATGGCTCAGTGGAATAAGCGCTTCCCTGGCAAGCGCAAGGACCTGAGTTCAATCCCCGGTTCCTAAAATAAAATAAAAGTTTATAGAAAACCTCAAGCATACATAGGATAGTATAATGAGCTTCTGGCTTTAACAAATAACTAATGTTTTGCCAGTTTGCCTATCTATTGAATTTTTTTTTTTTTTTTTCGGTACCAGGGATCGAACTCAGGACCTTGCACTTGCCAGGCAGGTGTTTATGCCACTGAACTATATCCCTGGCCTCCTGCCTATCTATTGAAAACAGTATTAAAGTAAGTCCAGAGGGCCGGCCTGATAGCTCCGTGGACTAAAGTGCCTGCTTTGGCATAGCGCAGTGGCTGGGGTTCGATCCCTGGCTTGCTGTGCTAGCTTCACCCCCCCAGGGTGCACTGAGACAGTGATTGAGACTGGGCATGGTGGCGCAGGCCTGTAATCCCAGCACTCACTTGGGAGGCTGACAGCAGGAGAATGACTACAAGTCTGAATGACATAGTGAGACCCTGTAGACCCTTTCCTAAATACAGAAGAGAAAAAATGATAAAGTAAGTCCTAGATATATTATTTCATCTGTAGGTACTTCTGTATGATTTCCATTAAGTTGAAAAAGCCCAAATACTCATAGACCCCATCACAAATTAATACTCCTCAGTATTGTGCCCAATACTCAATAGCTTTTTATTTTTTATTATTTATTTTCATTTATGTATTTGGTAGAGGGGCTCACTACACAGCTCAGACTCGTAATGATCCTCCTGTCTCAGCCTCCCCAGCACTGGGATTACAGGCGTGTGCCACCACATTCGGTTTTGGTGGCCAGCTCAGCGCAGGCCAGTGCTGCATGTGGTACTGGAGATCTAACCCGGGTCCTTATGCTTGCTAGGCAGGCGCTTAGACCGTCAAGCTATCTCCCCAGCCTGACAGCATTAATTTATTAATAGTTGTCTAGATTAAAACTCTGATGACACAGATCTCATGAAGCTAAAATCAATGTGCCAAGAGGGTTTTGGTTCTTTGGGAATGCTTTAGGAGAGAACCCGTTTACTTGGCTTTTCCGATTTCTACAAACTTTATACTTCATTTCTTGGCTTACAGTTGCCTTCTTCAGTCATCAAAGCTAATAAGATATTTGCACTTCTTTTAGAGGCGGGGCAGGTTGCTAGCAATGTGAACTCAGGGCCATGCACTGAGCTGCCTCCCTGGCCAATGTTGCATTTCTGACTTCTTTACCTGGCACTGGGGACTTGAACTGAGGAGCATTTATACTGGGCCACATCCCTATTTTTATTTGAATTTCCCAGGCTGGCCTCATACTTCCAATCGTTTTGCCTCCCAAGTAGCTGGAATTATTGGCATGCACCACCATTCCCAGCTTCGCTGACTCTTCTGTGGTCTTATTGCCCTGTGAAGCCACCTGGGACACATTTTCTGTGATGTCATAGGGCTCACCTGGATGACCCAAGATCCCCTCTCCATTCTGAGGTCTTCAACTTAATCCATATCAAGTAACAGTCACAGGTTCTGGGAATCAGGACAAGGACATCTCTGCAGGGCCATTTTCTCTGCCTATGGCTGTTTGAAATAGGATCTGAGCAAAGTATCACTCATTACATTTGTTTTGTATGTTTACATTTCTTTTAATCTATAATAGTTCCCTCCCTACTCTAAGTGAAGCGCTCTTAAAATGTCTTTTATATTTTTAGTATGTTTATGAGATGCTTAGAGTTTAATCTGTGAGATCTGAGAATCATATTCAGAGCAGTCCACCTTAGCCTGCAGGCATTGAAGTCACAAGGCACTGAATCATTCTGCCATGTTAGAACCTGTACTGTACCTTAAATGATGCCCAACCTAGTTCTTGAGCCAGAGTAGGCATTCAGCAAGTGTTTAATAATTGAGGCAGTATTTTAGGACAGTCCTTCATCTAAGCAAGCCTTGTCTTTCTGAACAATTCACTGCTATTGCAGCAACTAGACTGAAAGACAAGACGATCTAATCTTAACCAGTGTGGCTGAGTACAGAAGGAAAGGTGATATCTTGGCTAACAGCTATTAAGCTTGTAGAGCAAAACTGAATGTTACAGGAGGAAGCAAACACAGTCAATGCACTTATCAGTGTACAAGTGATACGATATGACAGATATGTTTCAGTACCTGTTTTTCCTCTGCCACTTCCTTTTCTCCAGAAATAGAAAGGTTATTTATTTGGTTCTAGTATTGCTGATTGTTTATTGAAAATTTGAATGTAAATAACAATATGCCATAGAGTATGGAGGCTATAAACAAGACTTCTAATTTTCCCTATCTCATTAGAATAAGGTTTACTTCCTTCCAGCTAAACTGTTCAGTTGACACGGTGTGGTGGAGTGGGATTTTTTTTTTTTAATGGCGCATGCCTGTAATCTAAGAGAATTGCTGAATGTTTTAGGCCAGCTTGGGCTACTTAGTGAATTCAAGGCCAGTCTGGACTAGTCATGTCTAACTCTGTATCAAAAGCAAACAAACCAAAAAACCCAACCAACCAATCATCCAAACAAGCGAAACCTCAGAATGGCTAGAATTCTTTAGCTTCATATCAGCTGTGTGATTTTAGGCAAGTTTTTCCTGTAGTTTCTAAGAGGAGAATAATTAGAGGGATCCTTAAGAGAGACTGAGACACTTAGAGAATCCAGGCAAAGCACAAAATCATTTTGTGCTTCTTGAAGGAAATGCCAACATCGAGCACCAGATCTGATTCTTCATTGTGTGTGTTCTGGTAGTGCGCATTGAACCCAGGGCCCTCACATTGAGTTACACTCTCGGTTCTTTTTTGTTTTTATTTTGAGATAGTGGCTTCCCAAATGGCATAGGCAGTACTCAAACTTGGGACCAGTGTGCCCCAGCTTCCCATAGCTCAGGCACACACACACAAGGCCAAACGGAGTTCTGTTTTTCTAGGTCTCCACCCAGTAGTGTATAGATGCTTATCTCTGCTTAATATATCTTTCTAGATCTCATTTTTTTAGCTCTCATAAATTTAAATATTCAAAGCTAGTCCAGAGGAGATGGAGAGATTTATTTGCCTCAAATCACCACCTCCCTCTGTGTACAGGTGGGCAGGAGTCTTTTATAGTAAGCAACAGAGGGGAGGGGGCGCAGAGTGAGAATGGGAATCTTTACCCTTGTTTTATCTTCAGCTCTTTGCACTTTATGTTTTGCGGAAAGGAAAGTGGACTCCAGGCCTCTTGATGTCAGCATATGCATATTCTATCATTTCATCTGGACGAGAGAGGGTGGAGTTTTTATGTGTTCATCAGGAGGAAGTTTGGAGAAACTGTTTACCTCTAAAAGGAACAAAAAAACAGTCTTTTAAAGTTCCAGCCAGGCATGGCAACACATACCTATAATTGTAGCACTTGGGAGGCTGAGGCAGGAGGATGGTTCAGAGTGCAAGACCAGCCTGGGCTACAAATTGAGCTCAAGACCAGCCTGAGCTGCAGGGTGATATACCCTGTCTCAAAATCACAGTCAATCAATCACTTGAAAAGTTTCATTTGGCTAGGTGTGGTGGTGCACGCCTGTAATCATAGCACTCAGGAGGCTAAGGCAGGGGAATTGCTGTGAATTTGAGGCCAGCTTCAGCTACACAGTGAGCTCAAGCCAGCCCGAACTACATGGTGACACCCTGTCTCAAATAAAAATAAAACAAAGTTCCAGTTGTGGTGCCAGTTACGCTACTGCCCGCCAGTCAAAATTTAGAAATAGCTTCTTAGATGAATGATACTGGCCAAAGCATTGCAAGACCACTTTTTGAAGTTAAACATTCTGTAAAGGGTATTTTTTTGTTTTTTGAATGTCAAGGCTCTGGGTAACATCAAATTTTCAGTCACTGAGTGGGTTCATAATAAAGAATTTCTTCCAGGATTTAATCAAAGTAGGTAATTGTTTTACTGTTTAGCTTTTGGTGTTTTTCCCAGAAATTAAAAAGTTCTTTTTCTTCTTAGAAGCTTTTCCTCAAGTAATGGTTTCTTTTATCTTGGACAAAATTCTTCCTTCCCCAAAGTGTTTTTGGGTATTACTCTCTTTACCAATCTCTTTGACCCCATTTTCCCCCTGTAATGAGGCTTGGCTCACTCTGGTCTTTGTGAGGACGCGGCTCTTGCAGGTTTATACCTCTGTGTTGTTCTCTACACAAAATCATTATGCCCCTGTTTAACTCAGCTCGGCTGAGCATCACGTGTATTTGGGGAATACTACCGCATCTATGGGGTGGCGACAGAAGTACTTACAATCAAAGGGGCAGACAAAATCAGAACATGCCAAATGTTAAATAACAGAAATCTGCTTCACAAAATGAGAAATCAGGAAAGGTGCAGACTAAGAACCCGCTGGAGTTTTCAGGGAGCAAGTGGAGTTTAGGAAGGCAGAGAAGGCAAGGAGAGGGAAGATCGATCGCCTTAGCCCGTATTAAAGGGTCGATCCCAACGCGCTGACGACTTGTGCACGCCAGAGCCGACGCGCTCCGCGCTGCGTGGGGGCCCGGCCGCGCCCGCCGCCCGCCGCTCACGCACTGCGGGCCGG